CTTTGTTCTCCGTGACAATTTATTGGTCTGCTATAGATTGGTTTTGGTTGGTATGTATTTCTAAAGTATATTTTTCTCCCTAATGTGAAGTTTAGTGTAAACTTACTAAACTTTCATTCCAACTCTGAGTCTCTAATTTTACTTAGGTATCTTACTAAATTTTTTTCTAGGATGGCAATGGCTATATTAGTGCAGCAGAGCTTCGCCATGTGATGACAAACCTGGGAGAGAAGTTAACAGATGAAGAGGTTGATGAAATGATCAGGGAAGCAGATATTGATGGTGATGGTCAAGTAAACTATGAAGGTAAATCTTTCACTACCTCATTCTGTGCGTTGATTTTAAGTTACAGGTATTTGTTGTATATCTCATAGGTCAAAATTAGTGACTCCTCCCCCCCCCCCACTCCCCTCCCCGCGCCAAATGAAGATGCTAAAACAGTTTTTATATTTACAAACCTTTTCCTATTCAGAGTATTTTCTACAGACTAGGCAAAAATTACAATCACCTGACAACTTTTTAGAACTGTTTACTGTCGGGTCCTACCATATACGTAGAATCTCTTCATTTTAACAAAATTGCTGGACAATTTCATATGCACATTAAAGTTTGAGAAGCACTGTACTTGAGACTGTGCTAAAACAATCTTTTTATAATGATTGTGGAACAATTTGAAAAGCTTTAAACTTATTTCAGGATCCTCAAAGTGAAAGGTGATTTTCCTTCCTTCATTGGATGTATTATCCCTCTAATTAGCTTTAGTCTGAAACTGTTTACTTATGCTTCAATTCAAAATTATCATGTTATACTAAAGAGCAAAAATGCTTAAATAGCTTGTCTAAAGCATTAATTTGGTTTATTGATTAATAATCCTAAATAATTTTGGTTTATGAAGTTCCAGCCTTGACAAAGCTTGACAACTCTAGCCTAAACTAGCATTCCTTTGTACTGTAAATTTTTGAGGAAAGAAAGGGGAATTGGAGACTGCTCAGAGATTGAGTAATGTGATTGGTTTTGCCAGTCTTTTGCCATTGACGCAACTTTTTGTGTACTTCTTCTTTTTCAGAGTTTGTACAAATGATGACAGCAAAGTGAAGACATTGTACAGAATGTGTTAAATTTCTTGTACAAAATTGTTTATTTGCCTTTTCTTTGTTTGTAACTTATCTGTAAAAGGTTCCCCCTGCTGTCAAAAAATATGCATGTATAGTAATTAGGACTTCATTCCTCCATGTTTTCTTCCCTTATCTTACTGTCATTGTCCTGAAACCTTATTTTAGAAAATTGATCAAGTAACATGTTGCATGTGGCTTACTCTGGATATATCTAAGCCCTTCTGCACATCTAAACTTAGATGGAGTTGGTCAAATGAGGGAACATCTGGGTTATGCCTTTTTTTTTAAGTAGTTTTCTTTAGGAACTGTCAGCATGTTGTTGTTGAAGTGTGGAGTTGTAACTCTGCGTGGACTATGGACAGTCAACAATATGTACTTAAAAGTTGCACTATTGCAAAACGGGTGTATTATCCAGGTACTCGTACACTATTTTTTTGTACTGCTGGTCCTGTACCAGAAACATTTTCTTTTATTGTTACTTGCTTTTTAAACTTTGTTTAGCCACTTAAAGAAAATCTGCTTATGGCACAATTTGCCTCAAATCCATTCCAAGTTGTATATTTGTTTTCCAATAAAAAAATTACAATTTACCCAACTGTTGCTCTGAATCTGAGTCCTTTAATTAACTTGAGGTCGAACAATTCTGAGAATCATATATGGGGGTGGTTTTTACTTGGTGTAATTTAGATAAGTTTTTGTTGGTATTGTTGTTTTACTACCTAGATTGTGTTTAGTTTTTAAATTATGATATACTTCCTTCAAAAAGTTTAAGTGGAAGATTAAAAAACCTTTTATAAGTGTACCTAGCATGGGAGCTGACATAATGTAGGTGTTTATTGTTTCCAGTCTTTTTTACATATTTTTCAACTTTGGCATATCCATTTGTCCATATTAACTTTAGCCAGGCAATGATTTTTAGAAATATTTCTGTTACAAACAATCCAAAGGAGGGGGGGTGTCATTATGTTCTTACTTCTGTTTGCTAAATGTTTTATTCATAGTGCTTTTTCCTTTTTCATAAAGCAAGGGAGAATTTTCAGTTGTTCTGCGTGTCCAGGACATGCTTTATAAAAAAAAGGTATCTTTAGGAGTGGATTGGCAGTAACTAAACCTTGTTTTAGTTTTTGCTTGCTTCTAAGCCATTGCTTTCTCTATAATTTTAAGCTACTCAAAAAGTGCTTATCTGGTTTTTTTGTTTTGTAGCTACCTTTTAAATACTTAATGAAAGATTCCATAGCAAACGAGAGCCAAGATTAAAACATTAAGTATAATTGTTACCTGATTATTATAGCCACAAGGTTTATCTTCCCAGGGAGCAATCCATTTGGCAGGTTACTGCCCATCTTGGACTATTTTTAATACCATTGTTATTCTACCAGAAAATAAAAAATTGGTTATTGAAGAACAAGAGAAATAGGGAAGTTACAGGCATTGATAGGGAATGATAGTTTTAAAGGGAAGTTACAGGCATTGATAATCCTAATGGGGTATTATATTATTACATATTAGGCAGGCAGTCAAATAGGAAGAACTTCATTACATGTAACTGTTAGTCAAAAGGAAGGCCAGCAAGATATTTGGTGGGAGAAGATAAATGTGTCTGGCTACTGAGGCACAATAGTCTGCAGTGTATTAAACATGGGCTTTGGAGTTTTATTTCAACAGTGCTCAGATCACTGCTGTGGATAAACTTAAAGAGGTCAATATTATCTTAAGCTTCAGTTATGTTACCTGCAAAATGGGTATGCTTTACCAACTTGGCTTTTACAATAGTGAAGGTTAAAGCACTTAGCATAGTCCTTGGCATTTGCAATAAGTGTTCAGTTGATGTTACTATGCTGTTAGGCCAATTATGACTCTGTAATATAAGGGAATTTAGTCAAAGTTATCTTTACCACTTCGGTAGTTCTTCCGATTCCTACATTTTCAAGTTTAAGTTAAGGTGAAAGGGAGCACACTATTTTGGGGTGCTTTTGTACCTCACATTAATTGCTGATTTTTATATTCACAAAAGTCACAAAGTTGGCATTATTTTGATTTTATAGGAAATCGAAGGATACAGCAGGGTTTTTTTTTTTTTTTAAGATTTATTTTTGAGAGAGTGGGGCGGTTTGGGGAGGAGGGGCAGAAGGAGCTGGAGAGAGAAACTCAAGCAGAGTCCTTGCTGAGCATGGGATCATGAGATCACGACCTGAGCTGAAACCAAGAGTCAGATGCTTAACCGACTGCACCACACACAGGCACCCCTGAATTGTATAGAGCAGTTTTATATAATTTAACTGGTCATATTGGGCACATACTGAGCTAAATTCTTACCTCAATTCTACTTACTACAACAGTCTTTTTTAATTTATTTTTTTAAAAATTTTTAAAATTTGACAGAGAGCGAGAGAGGGAACACAGCCGGGGGAGTGGGAGAGGGAGAAGCAGGCTTCCCACTGAGCAGGGAGCCCGATGCGGGGCTCGATCCCAGGACTCCGGGATCATGACCTGAGCCACAGGCAGACGCTTAACAACTGAGCCACCCAGGCGCCCCTTACTACAACAGTCTTACTGGAACTCAGGACTAGTCCTATCTTCACATCTTAACCATATTGCCTGTTTTGTTTTAGCAGGATTGTGGTAATTGATAATTCTTAACTCAGTACTGTGCAGCATGTTTGCTCTCAGATAATTCTAACAAAAATCATCACTACAGTTAAAAATCCATATTTTAGGATGTATTTTACAGAGTTTTATTAAAGATCTGATGCATAGAGAGGCACTGTTGGCCTCTACTTAGTGTAGTCCCAGAGAGAAATGCCTACCCCCCCTTTTAAAACTGCTGTTAATGATAACCTGAAAATCTTAAATTTTTCTCAGTGATACTGTACAAGACTGTGTTTTCTTAAGAGGACATTTTGTTTATCCTACATGCTTTGTCTGTCTTATTGGTAAAGTCCTTGAAGTCATTGACCTGTGCTGTTTCTATTTTTGAGATACTGAAACTATTTTCTCATCTAGATGTTCTTTCTATTTCACATCTTGTATGGGTTTCTAGACTTCTCTGTACCTTTCATAGTTCTTTAGTCTCTAGGGTACCAGTCCCTAGTCGGCTGAGCCACTTTTACAGGCTCAGCCAAAATAAGAAAGTGAAATGAGGAACAGTGATGGACTTGATTGAATCTCTTACGTTTGTGAAAACTCTGGTTATTAGCCTCTTGGCCTTATAATTTCAGTTGTGATTTCAAACTTGGTGTCTGTTTGGGTTTTTTTTTTTCCCCCTCGTATTTTTTTTTTTTTTTTTAAGGCTGTGTTAAATTTAGAATCCCATTAAGAGAAATGAAATGGAGTCTTCTAGTCTCTCACTACTCAAAAAATCACCTACAGATTCTTAGGCCCTGCCTCAGAATCCGAATCGAGTTTCATAAGATCCCCAAATGTTTTGTATGTACATTAATTTTTGAAAAGCACTGTGCTAGTCCATTGTCTAAACTGGTCAGTCATTCAAATATTTTAATCACTCCCGTGTTCAGAAGACTCAGAATTAAGACAAAAACCTGTGTTTGGGACGTGTTTAAAAATTAAGGGAGAAATGATTTGTCCAAGTGAATCCTCCCATAAAGATAGGCACAGGGTCCTTAGGGCTACAAGAGATTAGGCCAAGGAGGACTTCTCAGAGGAGTTGACTTTTGAGGTTTGCCAGGCTGTCGAAGAAGGGAATAGCATTTTAGCTAGGGAAGCCCACTGTGTCTAGTGCTCGCTCCTAAAATGAGAGGCAGAAGAGACACCCCAAAATTTCCCTCCGGAGGAGCTTAGAAACCACCTTAGAAAGTGGGCGCTAAGGCTGATTTTTGGCGCTAAAGCGAAGTATGCCTACGAAGCATACCGTCTACCTGCTTGGGGGGGGAGTAGGGTGGGGGTAACTTGGAAAAGGCCGGTGGGGATTATGGTGCGCTCTGCCTCCCACAAACCGTCTTTCAGGAGCCTCCCTTGTGGCAGCCACCCACCCCGGGCTCCGCCACGCCTCCAGAGCCCTAGACTTCTCGCCGCAGGTGTGCGTGATGGCGCCTGACGATTTCCCGTGCGCGGGGCGTGGCGCGCACCCTTCCCGCACCCCTGGACACCAAGCTGGCGGGTCCCCTGCGCACGCTCCGCAGCCCGCGGGCCCCGGGCGTCTCCTGGCAACCAGACGCCATCCCAGGCTGAGGGAGCGAGGAGGCCGCAATGGACCAACCAGTCATCGCCATCACCTCCAATTCCCTGAGGGAAGACCTGGGACCTGGCAGTTTGGTAGCCACCTCCTCGGTACAGACACCCTCCCCCAGCTCCCACTACCCACTGCCGTCCCCTGCCCCGGGCTCCCCTGGCCGAACTCCCACTTTCTCTAACGCTGGGCCTTGGCGCCCCTTGGTTTGCTCTTCGCACCTCTCCCTGCCCTCCTACCTACCCTGCAGTCCAGTCGTCCTGATCTTTATCTGAGTCTACTTGGTTTTATTTCCGCTTCCCTTGCTCTCCCTCATCCTTCCATTCGTCCTTTATTTTCTGTATTTTCTTTCCTTCTTCCGTACTACCATCTGCGCAGGGCAACTGCTTTGATTTCCCCCTTTGCCGAGAGGATGGGTTTTTCCTTAGTCGAACGCACATGTTTTTGCCCCTGCCTCTTATTTTAGTATTTATAAAATATCTTAAATACCTTCGTTTAGTTTTTTTTTTTTTAAAGATTTTATTTATTTATTCATAAGAGACAGAGAGAGAGAGAGGCAGAGGGAGAAGCAGGCTCCCCGCCAAGCAGGGAGCCCGATGCGGGACTCGATCCCGGGACTCCAGGATCATGACCTGAGCCGAAGGCAGACGCTTAACCGACTGAGCCACCCAGGCGCCCCTTCGTTTAGTTTTTAAATATATTTGGGCGAAGGATGTTTAGTCTATCTCTTGTAAAGTGATTCACCCCTAAAATGAATTTGAAGTGATAGGTGGGTGGAGTTTAGATCGCCGCCTGGGGCAAAACAAAACAGCGGCTGCCAATCACCTTCCTTTAGAAGTGCGGTGTTTACTTCTCCCTTCTTGCCGCTTGATTTTCCTGGTCCTAGGTAGAGGTGGGAGACTTGCCTTGACCTGCCTGACAAAGTTTGATTTCTGTGACTATAAATGTGCAACACAGAAGATTCAACATAAATCTAATAAAGGGAACGTATAGGAAGAAATTCAGACTTAGCAATGTGTATGAAACCGTGGTTTTTTTTTTAGAGAAATGCACATTTCATAGTAAAACTAAAGCTCTACTCATAAGTAGAGTGGATATAAGTTGCTAAAAAGGAAGAATGAATTATATCAGTTTTACTGATTAGTTTATTATCTCTAATGCACTGTTGCTTGAAATAACCTATATTTTGTAGTAGTAACAAAAGCATTATAAATGGAAGTACAATTCAATGATTTAATGACTTCACCTAGTCAAAGTAGCACAAAAGGAAAAAACTGAACAACCGTGTTCTGTTGGTGGTGAGGCTGAAACAAATGTGGGATAATAATAAATGGGTATAGGGTACTTACTGTAGAAACCAAGAGCGTCCTTGGAAACTAAGGAATACCAAAATCATCTGCTTTTTAACTTGGCAGGTGAGGGGTTAAAAATAAAAGCTACCGTTTATTGAGCCCTGGTTGTGGGTACAAGTCTTTAAATGTATAATGGCTTATTCTCATGCCAGCCTTGTTATGCCTTACTTTTATACTCCTAAGAGGGAGTTGAGACTCATAAGGGTTAAGTAACTTATGTAGTGCTCCTAGTTAGTAAGTGGCAGAGCTGGAGTTCAAGCCCAAGTCTGTCTGGGTCCTCTATCGTTCTGCCTCTTTAGTGTAACAGCTGGCTGGACAAGCTGAGAGAACTAGCTGTATCATATTTGTATGATACATAATAGTATATATAAAAACAGGAAAGGGCAGTTTTTAACATTTGCCATATCACTGGGAATTGGTATCCCAATATCACATTAATTTGATGACTATACACTTCTACCTTGAACTCCCAGCACAGCACCTGAACCATAAATCTATTATAATACAATTTTGGATTGTATTATAATACAATTATTATAATACACTCTGTCCTTCCTAGGAACACCAAATTTTGTGACATCTAATTTTCCTTACGACATCTCTTGTGAAATGAGGATGTTTATTACTCTCATTTTTCCAAAGGGAATTTAGATGGGAATTTAGAAGCACTTCAAGTCGTAAAATAGCAATTTAGGGAAATATGTTAGGCAAAATTTATCAGTATGTAGCTTTTATTTTAATTCAGGCTGACCAATTTGATACAGGTATTGATTTCTTCAAGCAAATGTTTTATAAAATATATTTAACTTCCAGGGATCACCTCTCAAATGAATAAGCACATTTTATGTTTGTTAATAGAAACCAACCCGAAAGACATCATCTGTTGAAAGAGAAGGATGGTGGAGAATAGCATTAACAGTATGTGTTTTTATTCTTTCTATTCAAGTGATTCATATTTCCGTTGATATTTTAATCAGCCTTACCTTTTAAGTCACTAACAATTGTTAAGAAAACAGTGGACCTCATTTCCTGTTTATAATTTTAGTATCATTAAATTTTAGATGCAGTATAAACTAAAACAACTCTAGGAATCTAGGTGCTTTACAGGATATCTAGATAAGGTCAATATAGCTTAAGATCTCGGTGAGATTACAGAAGAAAATGCCTCCATTCTATAAAAGGAGTTTGGGTTTCAGTTTGTATCTTAGATGGCATAGAGCTTGTGATAAGTTCTGTTAACATGGTCAGTGTAGGAAAGCAAGGTGGTAATAATGAAAGAAAAAAAGACCAGAAGATCCCCGTTCAAGAGACATCATTTCTATATTGTAGAAATATTTTCTGTCCACACCCTTCAATAATAGAGTGGCCCGTGGGCCAAAGCCTTCTTGAAGTGGAATTTTAATGGTGGAACCGAGCCGGGTGCTCAGTGGAAATTCGTCCACAAAAGCAGCAGTGACTAAACTTTCAGGTCTGGCCATTCAGCCACACTGCTTGTGATTTGAAAGAACCAAACCTCCTATTGGGCTGATGAGACCACATGCTCTGCCAGTTCATCCTCAGCCTCATGTTCTTATTTTTTAGCTGCTCTTTGAGGGCTAGAGAGAAATGTGTAGTATCTACCTAGCAGAAGTAGGCTAACTTTTTTTTTAGTCAAGAACTGTCCTGAGTGGTCTCAAGAGAGACCTGACATTTATAGGTCCAACTGCATCTCAGGTTTTAGTATCTCTGAAGTTACCTTTTAAAAAGTCAAAACTTCCAACTATGGCCGCAACCCATTTGCTATAATTCAGCAATTGTCTCAGAAAGGAAATAATTATGATTCTCTTGAAATATTGTTCTGTCGGGAGTGTTTACTATATTTGATAAAATTTTATTAAACCTTAAAACAGAAAGAAATGCTCCTTAAGAGTGACCCTTTTAAGAATGATGCTTTAGGAGATGTTACCAGTTTGCACACTGATCTGAAAAATGATGTCAATTTTCCACAGAACACTCCTATCCCTGGCACTTACCACTTGAAAACTTTCATTGAAGAATCCTCATTAAATCCAGTGATACCAACCTACAATTTTAAAAACGAAGGAAGGAAAAAACCACCTCTTGTGCAAAGAAACGATCCGGTACTAAATGACCTTCCCCTATATGCGCCTCCTGACTTCTTGGACTTACTTAAGAAGCAAATGGCCACTTACTCATTTAGAGACAAACCGCGGTCAAGCCCCAGCAAGCTGGTTTACAAAGATCAGGTAAAGTGCTACTAGCCGCCGGGTTTTTGTGGGAAAGCTACCAAGAGCCCCTGAGGAAAGTACCCTGTGTACTTTGAGTGCATCTTCCCCAGGAGAAATTGAAAACCTTTCGATGCCTTATTGCCTATAGCAATCAAACAAAGGCTCCCTGATTTGCAAGTATGTCCAGCAGGATTTTCCCTTGTGAGGCCTCCTTAACCTAAGGAGAGTACCTCTCCAGGCACTCTTGGCAGGATTCCCCTGATGTGGGGAGCTTCTGGAATCTTATCTGTGATTGGGCCATACTTCTGTTCCCTCAAGCAGTTTATACAGTGTACCCTCTTCTTTTAAAGAGAAAATTTTTCCAGTCAGTAGTGTCCTTTAATTAGAGTGTGAATATAACTGGATACCATAAGGAAAGCTTTTAAAAAATGTCTTATAGAAGTGAACACGGTGGTACCAGGAAGGCCAGATTCTACTCTCTGCTCTGTCGGTTCATTCATAACATTGGTAATAGAGAGAGCAGTGCTTGCTTACAGTCTCGGGCTAGGTTCTGTGCAGGGAAGATGTTCCTGACTGGGGAGTATTTGAGTAACAATACAAGAGCAAATATATCAAGGGCTAAGATAAATAGCATGGCAGGAAATGCCAGGGGGAGTTCAGTGTAGGCTGGGTTGAAAAGCTGGAAGGCTCCCTGGATTAAGTAAGACCCAAGCCAGACCTTGAATAATACATGACATTTATGTGGCTCTTAATGGCTTACTGTGAGTTTCCACACGTATTCTCTTAGTTGTTCTTCCCCAGCATTCTGAAATAGGCGCAACAGATGTTATCCCCATTTTATATGTGAAAACCAAGGTGAGTAGATACTAAGTCACTTGTTCAGAGGCATGGAACTGATAGGTAGGTGAGGCAACACTTTTAACTGAGGGTTTCTGAGCCCAAATTTGGTGCTTTTTCCAGTGTGCCTCTGGCTACAAACGAGGGGCAGAGTTTGGATGTGTGGTCCAGAGTAGGTGTTTCAAGGGAGGGGCATGACCTTCTGGAAGGCCTGTTCCAGGCTGGCAGAGGTAGACTTGGGACTTGGCCTTTGGGACTTGGGACTTTAGGCCTCCCATTTATTAAAGATTTTATTTATTTATTTATTTGAGAGAGAGGGAGAGAGCATGAGTGGGGGAGGGTCAGAGAGAGAAGCAGGCTCCCCGCTGAGCCGGGAGCCTAATGCGGGGCTTGATCCCGGGTCTCTGGGATCATGACCTGAGCCGAAGGCAGACACTTAACCAACTGAGCCACCAGGCACCCAAAGATTTTTTTCTTTTTTTAATTCATGAGAGAGAGAGACAGAGAGCACACAAGCAGGGGGGAGGATCAGAGAGAGAGGGGTGCTTGACTCGGGGCTCCATCCCAGGACCCCAGGATCATGACCTGAGCCGAAGGCAGACGCATAGCTGACTGAGCCACCCAGGTACCCCTGGGCCTCCCATTTATAAAGAAGCCAGTAACAGTATTAACCTCTACAACTTTATCAGGATATTGTTGTGATAACCTGAGAAGAAATGCATTGTAACTGGAGGTTGAATGAAATACAAGGGCTGTGGGTTATGAAGATGGATAAGAAATTTTCAGCAGGATGAGCACATCATAGCCAACACGGAAACCCTTCCTACTGCTCTGCAAATTATAGCTTTGAAACAGGACGGAGTGATAAATGTTCATTGGGTAAATCTTACCCTGTTTGCTTCAGTGGATGAATACAAACACTAAATTATGCTGAGACTTTTATGGCTTGGTATCGGGTAACCATGCTACATGTGAAATCATTCTGGCCACCTCCAGTGCAAAATCATTCTTCCTCATTCTGCACCACTGTTTACTGCCCTTCTACTTCCTCTCTTCTTGCTTTTAGGGGTTGTTGAGGGTAGGCCAAGTAGAAAGTAGAAAGAATTAAATGTTTTCCTAATTTTCTGTTTCAAAGGGTATACGATAATGTTCTCAGGAGGAGAGAGATTCAGATGTAACATTGTTTACTCACCAATAAAACTCACAATTCTGGTTTTTTAAAAGCAGAGCTCAGTAAAATAATAATTTGAATCTGAGGTAGATAGAGTATACATTGTTGTTATTTATTAACACAGAATAACATTCTCCAGCTTCACAATTTTTAAAAAGATTTATTTTTATTTTAGAGAGAGAGAGAGAGTGGGGGTGGGGAGGGAGAGGGAAAGAGAATCCCAAGCAGACTCTGCTGAGTGCAGAGCCCGATGTAGGGCTCGATCTCACAACCCTGAGATCATGACCTGAACTGAAATCAGAGTCAGATGCTCAACCGACTAAGCCACCCAGCACCCCCAAAGGATCCATTTTAATGTGTTCAAAAGACATCCTTGAACAGCCGATTGGGAGACTGAGGTTGAGAAAATCTGGCTGATTCCTTGATCATTGGTAGCTGTGTTTATAGCTGTGATGATGATGTCTCTGAACACATGTTAATTTGAAAAGCCTTCCATGGTAAAAATAATGGCTGGTGGAATTTTCAACGGAATGGTTTTGCATTGAGCAAAGTATCAATAGAGAGAAACCTTGTGCCCAAGGAGGGACTGGCAAGTAATATTGTAGGGAACTCAAGACTTCAATGTAGGGATAATGAAACACAAAATGTAGATGGAACAATTAATTGTGCATTTTTAAAAAGATTTATTTATTTATTTTAGAGAGAGAGGGCAAGCACGTGAGCAGGGGGGAGGGGCAGAGGGAGAGAGAATCTCAGGCTGACTCCTCACTGAGCACGGAGCCTGTGGTCGGGCTCCATCTTACGACCCTGTGATCGTGACCGGAACTGAAATCAAGAGTCGGTCACTCAACTGGCTGGGCCACCCAGGCCGCCCCACATCATGTGCTTAAATAAAAAACATGGCAGCCCTCAGAGTTGGCTCATTTTGCAAATAGTTTTTGAGGTTGAGCTCTCAAAGAGTACCTGCAAGGCAAAGTAATACTTGTCACATGCAAATAGGTCAAGAGAGTGGCCAGTGAAAATGAATTTTGAAAAATGGATTCACAGAACTTGTCTCAGGGACTGGGACCCACTGATAATTCTTAGTTCATTTGGAGCTGATGAAAAGTACATAGTATTGGCAAAATTAAGGACAATATCATTGCTAGTATGAGGCACGCATCTTTTTGAGAAAGTCCTGTGTCCTCTATTTCTCAGACCCAAGTGTGAGTAGTGAATCAGTGATACTTTCATATGACATAAGATACTTTACTTCTCAGAGAGAAGGTACATTTGATGAAATTTCTACCGATAGTGCCTAAAAATATTGCACCTACCAGCCCATTCGCTGCATTCACCTTGTGATTATTCTGCTAGGGCTTCTAAAGGGATGAAAATCTGTTTCCTTCCGTCCCACCTATTTATGGATCCAGGTTTTCAAAATATTGTCATACCCAGGACTTAATAAGGAGAGTTGGATGTTTTCACTTATTCCAGTTTTCTGACATTGAGGGTTCTGGTACTGAATTAAGTGTCTGCACTGATATCATCCTGCCGTATTTTATGACTCCAAGGTATTGCAAGATTTCTGAATGCCTAGTCAACTCGGACTGAAACAATTAGCTAGGGTCAGGTATTATTATGGGCACATTGTCTAGATTCTCTGAGCCTTACATTACAAATAAAGAATTGAGAAGCATATATAGGACTTAGGAAGTGTGTGTGTGTGTGTGTGTGTGCATGCACATATGCATCTACATATATACACACGCATATATACATTCTTTTTCATTCATTCTCATATATATATATATGTATATATATATATATTCCATTAAACCCAACCACACAGTTTGCAACAAGTTCAGCAATGTGCAAAGAAACAGTCTCTTATGTGAATCTCTATTTAAGACTGTGGAAAAAAATCAGCCCTCTCTCAGCTATATTAAATAGCAAAGAATGGCCAATGCAAGTAAAGTAGGACAAATAGAAAAGCTTTGGGTAATCAGTATTCCTTTCTAGATTAATGCTGTCTAAGAGTTTTTCCATGAGTACTTTATTACACAAATCTTTCGTGATTGCTGAGCATAGAACAAACAGCAGCTTAAGGGTTTTTTTTTCCCTCACTTTTCACTTCTCTTTCTTATTTCTTCTCCTGTGTATGTGTGTGTATGTGCACGAGAGAGGGAGAGTACAAGAGCAATGAGCATAAAGCATATAGCCACAGTTTAAATAGAAAGCAAATATCCATGTAACCATCATCAAAATCAAGAAATAAAATGCTATGGCCCCTAAGAAAGTCGCTTGCTTAAAATACATTCCTGTGCTGCCATGGTATGATTAAACAAACTCATGTTTCCTTGGTGTTTATTATGTCAAGTGAGCAATTAACAAGCACGGTTGCATCAGAACAATGTATGTATTTCATCATAAAGTCTGTATTTACTGTTATTATCACTGTATCCATGAAAAGCTGCCTCTGCAATCAAAATTATATTAATATGTGAAAACAGCTGTGGGGTAAAATATAATAGCTGAACTTCCATGTGGCAGATAATGCCAGGATATGGATGTCTCATTTTCAGCAAAGGCAGTATTGTATCTTTAAATCTGATTTTAAAATAATAGGGGTTGGGGGAGATTGTTCACTTAAGGAAGGCTTCTTCCCAGGATTTTGTAACCCAACTCCACCCTGCCAGCTCCTTCAACATAGGAAGTTCTGGAGATCGGGTCTGTCTTCTTTTCCCTGGCTTCTAGTTCTCCTTCCTTCTCTTCCTCCCCTGTCACACATTCCACTCTCTGTGCGTGCCGGTTCCTGACACTCCCTTACCGTCACATACTCCTGGGCTAATATCTATAGATCCAGAGACAGTGGAGCTTCCCAGGTACTTGCAACAAGTTTGGCAGTGGGCAGAGAGAGAGAGAGACAGTCTCTTCTGCAACATTCCTCAAAATATCCTCCGTGGCCCCCTTGCAGAAGTCCTGCCTTCCCTAAAACCCCACTCAAATTTCAGTCTGTGCCATCTTTAAACCACTCAGGTGGATTTAGTTATTCAGTTATTTCCCCCTGGCTTTATTGAGGTATAATTGACAAGTAAAATTGTATATATTTAAGGTGTACATGATGATTTTATATTTGTATGCATTGTGTGGGGCGCCTGGGTGGCTCAGGCAGTTAAGTGTCAGACTCTTGATTTCAGCTCAGGTCATGATCTCAGGGTTGTGGGATGGAGCCCCGCAGTGGGCTCTCCCTCTCCCTCTGTCCCTCCCTCACCTCCCCCCCAAAAAGAAACTATATTTGTATGTATTGTGAAATGGTTATGACATCAGGTTAATTAACACATCCATCACTTCTCATAGCTACTATTTTGTGTGTGTGTGGTGAGAACACATAAGATCTACTCTCAACAGTTTTCAAGCATCCAATACAGTATTAACTATAGTCAACATGCTGTCCATTATATCCCCAGAACTTATTCATATAATAACTGAAAGTTTGTACCCTTTGACAATCATCTCCCCATTTCCCCACCCCCAGCCCCTGGCAACCACCATTCTATTCTGTTTCTATGAATACCCTCTTTTTTTTTTTTCTAAAGATTTTATTTTTAAGCAATCTCTACATCCAGTGTGGGGCTCAAACTCACAACCCGAAGATCAAGAGTCACATGCTCCACCAACTGAGACAGCCAGGTGCCCCTATGAGTACCCTTTTAGGTCCCATGTATGAGTGATACAAAACTGTATTTGCCTTTCATGGCTTATTGCACTTAGCATGATGTGCTCCAGGTTCATCCATGTTGTGGCAAATGGCAGGATTCCTTTTTTCACAGTTAAATAATATTCCTGTGAGATATATATATATATATATATATATATATATATATATATATACACACACACACTTATACATACACACATATGATCATACACATATATATAGCATTTATATCATATATATATTCATTATTCACTCATCCATTAGTGGACACTTAGGTTGTTTCCATAGCTTGGCTATTTGTGATTACTGCTTCAGTGAACATGGCAGTATAGATATCTCTTCTAGATATTGATTTTGTTTCCTTTGGATATATACCCAGAAATAGGATTTCTAGATCATATGGTAGTTCTATTTTTTAATTTTTTGAGGAACCTCCATACTGTTTTCCATAGTGGCTGCACCACTTCACATTCCTACCAACAGTGCATGAGGGTTTCCTTTTTTCCATATCCTGACCAACACTTACCTCTTATCTTTTTGATAATAGCCTTCCTAACAGGTGTGAGGTGATAGTTCATTATGGTTCTGATTTGTATTTCCCTGATGATTAGTGATGTTGAGCACATTTTCATTTACATGTTGGCCTTTGGTATGTTTTCTTTAGAAAAATGTCTATCTAGGTCTTTTGCCCATTTTTAATCAGATTTATTATTATTATTATTGGCTGCTGGGTTGTCTGAGTTCCTTCTATATTTTGGATATTACCAGCTTATCAAAAAAATCCCAAAAAATCAATGATCAAACCACTGTCAAGGAGTTTTCCCCTATGTTGTCTGCTAGGAGTCTTATGGCTTCAGGTCTTACATTTAAGTATTCAGTCCATTTTGAATTAATTTTTGTGAGTGGTGTAAGATAAGGGTCTAGTTTCATTCTTTTGCATGTGGATATCCAGTTTCTCTAATACCATTTATTGAAGAGGCTATCCTTTACCCATTGTGTATTCTTGGTGCTCTTGTCAAATATTAGTTGACAACGTATGTGTGGGTTTATTTCTGGGCTCTCTACTTTATTCCTTTGGTCTATGTGTCTGTTTTTATTCTAGTACCACACTGTTTTGATTACTATAACTTTGTAATATGGCTTGAAATCAGGACGTGTGATGCCTCCAGCTTTGTTATTTCTCAAGATTGCTTTGACTATTTGGAGTCTTTTGTGATTCCGTATCAATACTAGGATTTTTTTCTACATGTATGAGAAATGCAATTGGAATTTTGGTGGGGATTGCTTTGGATCTGTGGATTGCCTTGAGTAGTATGGATATTTTAACAATATTAATTCTTCTGATCCATGAACACAGGATAACTTTGCACTTATTTGTGCCTTCTTTAATTTCTTTTATCAATGTCTTATAGTTTACAGTTTATAGATCTTTCACCTCCCTAGTTAAATTTATTCCTAAGAATATACTGTTTCTTATGCTATTGTAAATGAGATTGTTTTCTTAATTTTTTTTCAGATTGTTCATTGTTAGTCTGTGGAAACTCAACTGATTGTTGTATTTGTTTTGGTATCCTGTAAATTTACTAATTTTGTTTATTTTAACAGTTTTTTGGTGGAGTCTTTAGGGTATTTTTATGTATAAGATCATGTCATCTGGGGCACCTGGGTGGCTCAGTCAGTTAAGTGTCTGCCTTTGGCTCGGGTCATGATCCCAGAGTCCCGAGATTGGGCCCCGCATTGGGCTCCCTGCTCGGCAGGAAGCCTGCTTCTCCCTCTCCCACTCCCCCTGCTTGTGTTCCCTCTCTCACTATCTCTCTCTTTCAAATAAATAAATAAAATCTTAAAAAAACAAACAAGATCATGTCATCTGCCTACTAGGACAGTTTTGCTTCTTCTTCTTCCTTTTTTTTATCTTATTTATTTATTTGTCAGAGAGACAGAGCACAAGCAGGGGGAGCTGCAGACAGAGGGGGAAGCAGGCTCCCCACTAAGCAAAGAGCCTGATGTGGGACTTGATCCCAGGGCTCTGGGATCATGACCAGAGCTGAAGGCAGACAGACGCTTAACTGACTGAGCCACCCAGGCATCCCTCAGTTTTGCTTCTTTCTTTACAATTTGATTGCCTTTTATTTCTTCTTCTTGCCTAATTATTCTGGCTAGAGCTTCTAATACTGTGTTGAATAGGAATGGAGAAAGTGGGCACCCTTGTCCTATTCCTGACCTTAGGGTAAAAGCTTTTAGCTTTCTACGATTGAGTATGTGATTAGCTGTGGGTCACTCAGTTGGATTTAATCTCTCCCGACCCTCAAGTCTCCAATCTGTCTTTTATAATTTTATTTATAGTATTTTATATTAGAATAGTTTATGTACGTGCCTTCTCATTCCTGCGGGCCAGGGGCCATATCTCTCTCACCATTGTATTCCCCACCACACCCAGCAGTACTTTACTCACAGAGCAGGCTCACCAAATGGTAGGTGAATGGATTTGTTGAATTTAGTACATTTAAAATATGATCAATTGTACAGCATTTTTCTATGCATCATCTCAGGCACACTATCATAAAATGTACCGTGAAAAGGGAATATTTGTTGAATGTTTTGAAGCTCCATCTTTGAAAATGTAACTTTTCCACTATTAAGATCAAGAAAAAATTACATAATGCTGTATGGTCATAAAATAAAGGATTATGAATGACAGGTGATAAGATAAAGTGAGCTTAAGACCTGTATTAATCTATTTTTGGTGTCCTTGTCCATTCTATGTAGTCAGTTAAGCTTTCACCAGGGCAATATGATCTCCTTCCTGCACCGGTTCCCAAGCACGCTTCCAGGTAATTATATACTTATTAAATTGCTTTTAATAATTTCACTCATGCCTTTTTATTTACATACTTAACCAATACTAATGGCTTTTAACCTTATTTATGCCCATCATATCTAGAATAGCATTTTTAAAAATTTAATGAGAGATAGGGAATAAGTTAACAAAGTTCCCACATTAAAAAATAGATTTAGTACATCGTCTTTTTTTTTTTTATATAGGAGCTTCGTATTTCGTTCTACAGTTCAAAGATTTCCAACAAGCTGCTTCACTCCTGTAAGTATATTGTAGACAATTAACTCATGATGAATTTGATGTTTAAAATATGCAGTGGTTCATTTTGATATATCAAAATTGACATTTTGATCACTGTAGTAGATAAGCAATGAATGATTAATGTAATTGATTTAAGATATACTTGAAGTATATCTGAAGATATACCAGGGATTTCAAGACAAGTAACCCATTTGTGTCAAGTTATAGAAGAAAAGTAAAACCTCCTTTCCTTTCTGTAGGTCTTGACTCATATCACCTTCTCAGTGAAGTCATCCCTAGTCACTTGTTCAGAATTTCCTGTGCCCTCTTCCTTGGTTTATTTTTCTCTGTAATGCTCACCACTGTCTGATACACTACACTCAGACATTAATCTGTCCTGTTTTATCTGTCTCCCCGCAGTGGAATATATGCTTCATGAAGGTGGAGACTTTTACCCGGTTTTGTCCTGTATACATAACACCTAGAAAAATGGCTGCCACATGGTATTTATTGATTTAATTAATAAAATCCTCAGAGATACTCGATAGATCATTGTATTAACAACAAGAAGGAAAAGTATCTCTGGTTTCTTTCAAAAATGTGAAAATGCCTTCCTGTTTCTACAAATTTCCAAGTATATGATGTGTTTTGATAAAATGAACTCCTTTAGGTAATTAACTAACTGATAGGATGCCAAAAAACAAATAATTATATAAACATTTTGAAGGATTAAGACAAGATGAAATTATTTTAGGGTGGTTTGATGGACTTGAGTTACCTATTTGTAACTAGAAACCCAGATGGAGAAAGACATGTTCAGTGAACATTTGAAAGAGGAATTTAGATAAGAGTTCAGAAACAGACCCTAGACTATATAAGATTTTTATATTTGATAAAGATGGTATGACAAATCAGTAGGGAAAGGAAGAGAATATTTTATGCTGGGCAATTGATTAACTTAGAAATTAAGTTAGATTCTTCCTACCACATCTTAAAATAAATTCCATATTGATAAAAGAATTAAATGAAGCATAAAACCAGAAGAAAATATATTAGCCTCTATCTAATTTTATGATTTTCTGAGATCAGAGCAGTGGGTGAACTGCAAAGGAGAAGTATTTGATTTGACCACACAACATTTAACATTTCTTGTATATTAGAAGACAAACTGTAAACAAAGCTAACAGGCAAGTGCAAATTCGGAAAAAAGTATTTTCAACATATATGGCAGATAAAGGGCTAATGGCCTTATTTAAACTCTTAACAATCTAGAGGAAAAACATCAATAGAAAAGTAAAACAGATGAAGGCTGGGAGTGGACCATTCATGTAACAAGAAGTTCAGATACACAACAAAGGTGAAAAAATTTTGATCCCACTAACAAATGTGAGAAACTAAAAGGCTGACTGAAAACTTTCTGTATGTGGGTGGTGTGCTGGGCTGAATAATAGCCCCAGAGATGTGGCCATGTCCTAATTGGTAGAACCTGTGAATGTTCCCTTGCGTGGCAGGAACCGTCCTGCCCACTTGATTACGTGAAGGATCTTGAGATGGGGAGATTGTTCTGGATTCTCTGTTGGGCTCACATGCACACACAAGTGTCCTTATATGAGGGAGGCAGGGGGAGATTTGAGAAGGGGGAGGAAGCAGTGTGGTCACAGAGGCAGAGGTTGGAGTGATGCGACCACAAGCCAAGGAAGGTGGCTGTCACCAGAAGCTGGAAGAGGCAAGGACAGACTCTCCCCCAGAGCCTCCAGAGGGAGCAGCACCCAGCCGACACCCTGAGTTTCGCCCAGTGACACTGATTTCAGACTTCTGGCCTCCAGAATGATGAGAGAATAAAATTCTGTTGTTTTAAACCACCAAATTTATGGTAATTTGTCACAGCAGGCACAGGACATTAATACAGGTGGGGAGTATGTCCAGTGGATTTCACAGTTGATTGACGAGAGGAGGACATGGTTTTGGTTTTTCCTTTGGCTATCCCTAGGCCTTTTCTCTTGCACATGTCAGAAGCTTGGGGTACAGCCAGCTGCCAGTGTTCTGGGAGCTGAGTCAGGGAAGAGGCTGGGGGGTCTCACCGTTTGGTGTGTGGAGAAGTTCACTTAATTTCTGTTTTTGGTAAAGGCTCCTGTCCTTAGAGTTCCTGGGGCTCCTGCGTCCAGTTGTCTGGTACAGTCTCCCCAGAAATACACCCCCTGCCCCGCCTGGGATGCACGAGTGGGGGTAGGTGGAGGGACCTGGAGAGAAGAGGTCTACCAGTCCTCTTACTTTCAGCCCCCCCCTTTCCATTCCCACCTCACAGGGGTCTCATGCCTAAAATTCCTGACCTTCTCTTGGGTTCTGTGGAGCAAATCAGCCTGCTCCCCTGGCAGTTTCAGCGGTCTCCACTGTGCTCCATCAGGTCCCATTCCTCCAGGGTGCTTCACGTCCTCCCACAATACGTTCTCTCCGTTGGCTCTTGTCTCTTCTCTTGGCTCTGTGTGTGTGTGTGTGTGTGTGTGTGTGTCTAGAATGGGAGGTGGATCATTATTTGATGGGAAGAAGGGAAATAGATGCATATGTAAGTTGGCTTTGGCAGCAAGCAGTCAAGACAACTGGGTTTTTTTCGCTGGGTAATAACTCTGTCTCCCTTGAACTATATGTTTTAAATGAATGCTGCGAGCTAATAATGATTTGTTTACTACCAGTAAGGAGGGACTCAGTCAAAAATAATTGGATTTTAGTTCAGGTTAGGCATCCTGGACGAGCAGCCTGGGATGTGAAATAGCACAAGCCAGTTGATTCGGACAGTTTTTGCTTTTGTTCTCATTGCTTTGACGGAGAGAAGATTTTTCGAGATCCTTATTCTGCCATTTTCATTGAAGTCACCTCATCCCTTCTATTTTATAAATAAAAGTGATTCACTGATTTGGAACATCCTGTCCTTCAACAAAGTGAAAAGAATACTTTCATGAAAAATGTTCTAAGACAAAGAAATAGCCCAGGGCTGTGATTCATGTCTGTCCTAAACATGCATTCCCAGAGCAGAATGTGGGCTTGGTTTAGATCTACAAACTTGTAAACTGTAGAAAACAAATTCCGTTGATCCCAACAGTGGGAGATGGTGGTGCACTGTGTGAGTATGGCACAGAAATACTGCTTACCATTCTCAAAACTTTTTGAGATAAATGCAGTAATCTTCAGGCCATTATAATATGGCCACTTAACCTTTATCTGAAAAATCTCATTGGGTTGATTTTATCCTTTAGTCTCGTTGTTCTAGAAATTAACATTATAATCACAGAACTGTTAAGGACTCTTAGAACTGGAAGAACCTATCAATGAGCTACTGTGGACTCTTGAACAGCATGGATTTGAACTGTGGGGGCCCACATATATGTAGGTTTTTTCCAGTAAACGCAGTATAGTACTGTAAATGTATTTTCTCTTTTCTTATGATCCTCTTCATGTTTTTTCTGTAGCTTACCTTAGTGTAAGAATACAGTATATAATCCATGCAACATACAAAATACATGCTAATCCACTATATATGTTATGGGTAAGGCTTTCAGTCAACAGTAGGCTAGTAGTAGTTAATTTTGGGGGGAGTGCGAAGTTATACATGGATTTTCCACTGCTTGGGGGCCGGCAGCCTTAACCCCCACGCTGTGCAAGGGTCAACTGTACTCTGTTAGGGTTGGCTTTGATGATGAGGGCCACCATCATTCATTGAGTATTTTCTGGTGCAGGTGCATTTAATCCTCACAGCAACTCGGTGGGTTAGTATTTCACCTCTACTCCACAGGTCAGGAAATGGAAGTTAGTTTACAGAGGTCACACGGTTATTTAGGAAGCGGAGCCATGACTTAGACCCCATCTCTAAACCTGGTGACCTCAAAACCTGGGCTGTAAGCTGTGCTGCCTAGTGCATGAGCATGAGCAAGTGACTTGCTTAGTGCCTTTGGACATTTAGAGCTGGTCTGGGGTCAAATCCAAGTGGCAGACTTTGTGTTGTCTCTGGCGTCACCATTCCTCACTGATGACTAAGGCTTGTTCATGGGCCCAGGTTGGCCTGCTTGACCGTTTTTGCAGTAGGATGAGTTCACATGCAGGAGACTTCTGTCTCCTGGGAGGGCCATCTACCAGCCCGCCTGTTAGGCCCTGAGCATCTAAGGTCCTTACAATGGATGGAGGCAGCTTAGGCTCCAGCTAGGAGCCTTGCTACACTGGCTTTTCTTAATTGGCCGTATTTTTTCCCTGGGACACCTTTAGGATGTTAGAACTTCCAGTCTTTTCTCAGCAAAGTCTCTTTGTAAAAAGCTGGGCTCAACTGAGTCTAGCTGACTTCAATAGAAGTTCTTTCATCTGCTCTACATATCTTTTTTGGGCGGCTGTGTGTGTGAAGCCCTAAGCCAGGTAGCTATTGTTGAGTATTCAGTGGCAAATGGGACATTTTATCAGTGCTCTCCCTTCCCTCTTGAAGGGCAAGGACACACTGAGGTCAATACCCCAACCAAGGTGTACCCATACAGGCACACAGAAACTTACACAGATGAAATGAGAGTCCGGGGATTCACAATGCATGTGTCTGACCAGTGTGAGACCAAATGGCTTGGCACACAAAACTTGAAACGTGGCACCCAAAATTAGACACTGATGACTCAAGTTTAATATTATCTGTTGATAGAAGCACATGTACCTTCTTCCTTCTGAGAGCCATCTCCAGAATCTTCTGATACATTCACTTGTAAGCTTCTTAGCAATTGCTGACTCCAGGCTGAGGAAGGAGGTAAGGGCAGGAGTGAAGAAAAGGCTTGAACAAGGAAAGGGACACCCATCCTTGTCCCTTCAGAGCCTGTATCCGAAGCCAAACTCAAAGAAATCAAAGGGCTAGTTGTCCTGTCAGGCTTTGGATCCAAGGGCTTTTCCACAAGGCATTTATTAGTTGCTGGGTCCAGAAGGGAAATCTGGATTTATACCTCCCCACCCACTGCAGCAATGCCTGAAACTCCATAGTAGGGATCTTTTTTAAAAAGATTTTATTTTCAAGGAAT